TGGGTGTGTCCTTAGACGCCACATACACAGGTTTAGCTAGAGCAGCAAAGTTAGGTACCCAGTGATGGAAGAATCCTACAAATCCTAAGAAGGAGAGAATCTGGTCTGCAGTCTCCGGAGGCCGCAGTGAAAGAAGTGCCTGCCGGCGGTCAGTTGTTAGGCATTCACCTCACCCCCAAAACTAAAAGCCTAAGTAGATTACTGAGGTGACTGACAACTGTGCTTTGGCAGGGGATACCCAGTATCCCCAGGATCCAAGAAAGTTAAGGAGAGTGGCAGTGTGCTGTTGAGACAGAGAGGGAGGGGCTACAAAGTAATAGGTCATCCACATACTGGAGAAGGAGACTAGGTTGGAGGGAGCAGGAGCTGAGGTCAGCTGCTAAGCCTTGTCCGAAAATGTGGGGGCTGTCTCTAAATCCCTGGGGCAGGACTGTCCAGGTGAGCTGCTGTGACAGTTGGTGTCAGGATTGGTTCAGGTGAAGGCAAAAAGGAATTAAGACTCTGGGTGAAGGGGAATAGTAAAGAAGGCATCCTTGAGGTCAAGAACTGTAAAATGAGAGGTAGTGGAGGGAATGTTGGATAATAGGGTGTATGGATTGGGGACCACGGGGTGGAGGGGTACCACTGCCTTGTTGATGAGTCGCCGGTCGGCTTTTGGACCCGTAAGATTAGGAGTATTACAAGGGGAACTGGTGGGGATAAGGAGTCCCTGAGCCAGAAGCTGGGTGATGATAGGCTTTAGGCCCTGGCGGTGGGTCTTTAAGATGGGAAACTGAGGACTTGAGGGTAAGTGGGTAAAGTTTTTGAGAAGTATTTTAACTGGTGTGTGATGTCTGGCCACCACAGGCTTGTAGGTATCCCATACCGAGGGATTAACTTCATTAGGAGGGATAGGGGGTTAAGGCGAGGAGTCAAGACAGGGTGTGATACCGGTTAGGAATAGCAGTAGAAGGTGGGCAGAGGATGGGCTTGAATGTGGGTGGCCAGTGAATTGGAGGGTGGCCCCTACAGTCTGGAGAATATCTTGTCCTAAAAGTGGGACTGGGCATGAGGGTATAATTGGAGTGGGAGAAGGGATGTCCCTCAAGAACACAGGCTAAGGGATGGGTTTGGTTAGGAAAGGAGGGCTTTCCATCAATCCCCATGACTGAAACCTGGGAAGGTATGCTAGGTCCTGAGTAGGAAGGCAGTACAGAATAGGTAGCCCCCATATCCATTAAAAAAGAAATGGACTTAACGTTACCCTGGGCTCAGCGAGGGTGATGGGGGTCCTCAAGTCCGGGCTCTGTCAGTCGTCCAGAAGGCTGAGAAGTTTAAGCGGAGGGACTGCTTCCTGTGGACCGGTCTGCCCTCCACATAGAGGTGTGGGGGGCGACCATGCAGCCTGGGACAGGCAGTCAACCTTCCAGTGTCCAGTCTGTTTGCAGCTTGGGCAGGGTCCAAGAGGTAGATGAGGACGGGGCACTGCCATGCCCAGTGTCCCTCCTGGCCACATTTAAAACAGGCCCAGGCGGGGCCTTTGAAGAATTTTGGGAGGGTTTGATGGACCCCCTCCACTGGATGTTCGGTGGGCTGCCGGCCTCAGAGCTGCTACAAGAGCTCGGGTTGGAAGGCCTACCTTTTGCTGTAAACCGGCCTGGTGGGTGGCCTCAGCCTTTTCCTCTCGGCCGTTGAAAACTTTAAATGCCATGTTCACCAGGTCCCGTATGGGAGTTTGGGGGCCCTCCTCAGCTTTTTTAAGTTTCCTCCTTATATCAGCTGCCTACTGGGAGATGAAGTAGGTGGCCAGGACTGTAGCCCCCGCTAAGGAGGCCAGATCTAGCCAGGTATGGAGGATCATAGCCTTAGTTAATCAGTCTAGGAAGGCAGCTGGGTTTTCATCAGGACCCTGAGTTATTTCCCTTAACTTATCATAATTTACTACTTTTTGAGCTGCGCTCTGCATGCCCACTCAGAGGCACTGTAGCATTTGGTCTTGGCGGCAGCAGCAGCCATCTCGACCAGTTTGATAGTCCCAATTAGGGTCTGCCTTGGGGACTGCTGCTGCGCCTACTGGCATTCAATTGTTTGTGAGATGCACCTGATCGGTGTGAGTTCAGGCTGCTGTAAGAAAGCAGTCACACTCATTGGAAGTAAGAGTGGAGGACAGGATCACATAGGTGTATCATGCCAGGTTCGGTTGTACGCTTGGGGGAGGTAATGAAATTCTTTGGTATAAGCCATAGGATTGGTAGAGAATGACCCTAGGCGTTTTTCAATGGCTGATAGATCAGAGAGGGAGAAAGGAACATGCACTCAGACAGCGCCTTCTGCTCTGGCTACTTTGCAGAGGGGGCATAGGAGAGGAGTCCCGTTGTTGAGAGTACAGCACGAGCGCGTGTGAGCACTAAGTTGGGATCAGAAAGAGGAGGAGCCAGAGGGGGTTGGGGTTTCACATAAGGTGGGGGATCGGTGGGTCGGGCAAAGGGAAAGGGGAGTTGTTCTGGTGGGTCGGGGTCGGACAGGGAGGAAGAGGAGGGTGGAGGAGCAGAGGGTGATGAGGAAGTTTGTGGCCAGTAGAACCTGGGTGATGGTGCAGGAGGAGCAGAGGGCAGGGCAGGAGTGAAGGTACCAGAAAGCCTGCACATAGGGGACCTTGGATCATTTACTGTTCTTTTGGCAGAAGTGGTCTAAGTCTGTCAGGATGTTAAAGTCAAGTGTGCCCTCTGGAGGCCACTTAGACTGGTTGTCTAGGGGATACTGTGACCGAGCCACGGTAGAGAGGAAAAGCAGCCTCTTCTTTTTAACGGAAAGGCCCACCCAGTTTGGGTAGATTTTGGACTAGGCACCCTAATGGCAATTTAGGGTCTGGGCGGGACTTCTGATTGCCCATTGGTTCACCTTCTTGTGGGGTAGTTAGGGGTAAGAAAGGAATATGGAAAGGTATTATACCCAATGCAGACAGAAGTACCCCTTTTCCGGGGGAGGATGGCTAGAGAATTTACAGGCTGCAATGATTCTGAGGAGAAAGAAAAAAAAGACAGGGCTAGTGCTATCTGAGACAAAACCACATATAGGATTGACAGACGAAGGGTTGGGGAGACCAGTCTGATGCCTTCCCAGCCGTGTCCCCAAAGGGAGTTTCAGGGCATCTTGGCTAAGGTGTACCCGTATAACCCCCAGGCCTGGTCACCTTCAGTTTCCTGAGGTGAATCACCATTATGCCTTATGACGTCCCTATTGGAACCACAGGTTGAGGCCTACACAAGCCCCATAGCCATCAGGCCGTGGGACTACACATAAACTCACTCACTCGGGATTGGGAAGAGAAACCAAAAGTACGGTTACTTAATTAATGGGAACTTATGTGCCAAAAGGCTGATTTGAGATAAATGTTTTTAATGTCGTAAGCCGGGGGATTTGGTCCTGTTAGGCAGGGCCTGGGTCTGCAAACAGGGCTTCTGAATACCCAAACCTTGGCCACTACTGTGGAGATGTTCGGAAGGCATCCCGGACTGCACTTCCGAACACCGGAGAATACAAGAGGGTTCAGGAAGGTGGGGACGTCTCCCTCAGAATCCTGACCCTGCGAAACCCCTCACGGGGAGAGGACAAGAGTATAGGGACGTCTCCTCTTCACTCAGGTCCTCGGGACGAGGCCGGGGCCCTGGGCCCATGGTGAGAAACAAGAAGGAGCCCCGGACGCGGCCGTGATTACAAGCAGGGAGTCCAGGAGGCAGGCAGCGGGAGAGGCTGTGGGCAACAGAAGTCTTACCTTGTGGTGGAGTGGTGCCCTGGTCCGGCTTCGGATGAAGGAGTCAATTTACCCCAGGAGGGGTCTTACAACTCCTCCCGGGTTTTGGCACCACTTGTAAGGTTTATTCTTTGTAAGGTTTATTGCCGAGTTTAAAATGAGGAAACTGAGGCCTGCATGAGAACCAATTAGATTCCAATTTATTCAGCTCCGAGGTGAGGTTCTATGGTCCAGGGGAAGGAGGCCAGAGAAGTCGTTCCTGACTCCTCTCAGGCATAGGGTTATATAGATTGTGGAGAAACAGGACGTGGACGTGGCAAGGTAGGCGGGATTTCCAGTGAGCAGGCTAGATGGGACAATGTGCTATTGGGCAGGTTTTGGCGGGGCTTTCCAACAGTGGGCTAGGTGCCAAGTACAGAGTTTAGTGTCGAGTGCAGATCCTGGTGCTGAGTGCAAAGGGGATTTCCAACGGTGGGCTAGGTGCCCAGTGCAGAGTTTGGTGCTGAGTGCAGATTCTGGTGACGTAATTTCAGGTGTGGAGAGGGATGGGCGTGTCCAAGCTCCAGGCGAGGCAACCAGCCTTACGCTTAGTTTGAGGGTAGTTAAAAATGGGGTAAGCCAGGTTTGGCCAAAGTTTGCCAATTCCTGGACTAGTCTGCTGAATCTTTAAAGCTTATGTAAAATCATCATTGCCATGATGGAACAGACTTTGAAAAAATCATGACTGTAGCTGGGCATGGTGGCTCACACCCGTAATCCCAACACTTTGGAAAGCTGAGGCGGGTGGGTCATGAGGTCAAGAGAGTGAGACCCTCTGGCCAACATGGTGAAACCCTGTCTCTACTAAAAATATAAAAATTAGTTGGGCATGGTGATGTGCACCTGTATTTTCCAGCTACTTGGAAGACTGAGGCAGGAGAATCCCTTGAACCCAGGCGGAGTGGTTGCAGTGAGCCAAGATTGTGCCACTGCACTCTAGCCTAGTGACAGAGCAAGACTCCATCTCAAAAAAAAAAGAAGACTGTAACTGAATCCTGTGAAATAGTCACTAATAAAGAAATCTTTGTTTTTAAGCTTGACTCCTAAGTAGAAAAATTATCAAATTGCCATTCTGAATTCGAGTGCTGCCGATTACTACCCTACGTGGCACAAGTTGTAGTAGTACAAAAAGTCCAAGGGGGAAAAAACCCCCTTTATAGTCTCCTTACCTTTGAAGACCGATTTATTCTCTGTGTAGATAATCTTCTGTATCACTGATTTCTTTCAGCTGACCTCAAGAGAATTTGCAAGACAATAGTTGAGGCTGCAAGTGACGAGGAGAGACTAAAAGCTTTTGCTCCCATTGAGGAAATGATGACTTTTGTGCAGTTTGCTAATGATGAATGTGATTATGGCATGGGGCTTGAGTTGGGAATGGACCTCTTTTGCTATGGCTCACATGTGAGTAAAAAAACTCCACCTGCCACCCACTGCCCCACCTCCCTCCTCCCTCCTCTACCCCCAACACACATGAATACATGCACATTTATACCACCAAATTCCAGCAGAGCTAAGATATTCAGCTTGTATTTCAAAATGAATTTTTTGAAGTGATTTTTTTTTTTTTTTAAAGCAAATGTCCTAAAAATATTTGAAATTCATCTTATATTCTAGCAAAGGTAATAACCAAGATTATTTGCATTCAGGCTTACATTAAAGTGTATTCACTTATTAGGTACATTATAGGGATATGCCTTCTTGCTGTGTGTGTAGATTTGGAGCTATGTTTGGGGATGTGTGCACACACCTTAGGCTCCATTTTGTTTCCATTGTGTTGGGGTTATTTGTTATTGTGCTTGAAATCTTAGATGAAAAATATACTTTAAAAATTGTTTAAGCTTTGTAAGAGATGCTGTTTTACCATTAACTAATTGCTCATTAATAAAAAAATTTTACTTAATAGCTAAACCTGTGCTTACTCAACCATAGTTGCCTGAAAGTCAAAGAGGCAATAAGGTATGGCAGGCATGACATGCCCATGGGGCTAAACTGGTTGTAAATGACATCTTCCCCAGTGTGTAAGATTGGGCAAGCTTTCCAACACCTTTGTATCTGTCTCTTTACCTGTAAGCTATGTCTGCACATGTGCACACCCATTCGCAGAGCATTTAATTCTCATTTAACCTACTTATAACTAAGTCACAGAGAGTCAAACCATCTTGCCCGGCGTTGACACGAGCAGTCTGGTTCCAAAGTCAGTGCCTAAATGAGCGCAGTAATTCTCAAACTATAAAATGCATGTGACTCACCTGCAGACGTTGTTAAAATGCACTCTATTGGTAGGTCCAGGATTAGATCAGAGACTACGTATCTGTCATGCTTCCAGGTGATGGTAATGCTGCTGCTCTGCAGACCACAGGGGAAAGAGCAAGACTAAACCAGTAGCTTTCCAGCTTTAGCATGCATCAGTCATCGGGAGGACCTGTCCAAACCACACATTGGCACTCTCCCCACCCTCCCCAAGTTTGATTGAGATCTAGGATAGGTCCTGAGAATTTGCATTTCCAACAAGTTACCAAGTGAAGTTGATGCTCTTGGTCAGGGGTGTACATTTTGAGAACCCTGCTATAAACCATCTTATACTACTTTTCTTTACCAACCTCATAATTATCAGTAAACAGCCAGGATGACAGTCATCAGTCAATCCAAATGGTGCTTGACCTGCTAGAGAGGCCCTAAGCATACACAGAGCCATAAGATGTGAACCAGTGAATAGCAAACTTGATTGTTGTGAGAATGAAAAGACGTGTAAGAGTTATAAAAAGATTTAGCACAGGCCGGGCACAGTGGCTCACGCCTGTAATCCCAGCACCTTGGGAGGCCAAGGCAGGTGGATCACAAGGTTAGGAGATCAAGACCATCCTGGCCAACATTCTATCTACTAAAAATATACAAATTAGCCAGGTGTGGTTGCAGGCAGCTGTAGTCTCAGCTACTTGGGAGGCTGAGGCAGGAGGACCACTTGGAGGCAGAGGTTGCCGTGAGCTGAGATGGTGCCACTGCACTTCAGCCTAGCACCAGAGTGAGACTCTGTCTCAAAAAAAAAAAAAGACTTAGCGCAGTACTTACCACATGTTAAGGGCTAAATGTATGATCAACAAAAAGGTGGTATAGTAGATAACAATAATCTAAAATCTTTTGATAAACCTAAGGCAGTGGCTCTTAACAGGGATTGGGAGGTGGTACATGTTGGGGATGGGGGAGAAGGAATTTGAGGATAAAGGAAATACGATCTGAAAACTCACTTTCAGCATAGCTATTGTTACAGAATGAAGGAAAATAAAGCTTAAATTTTGACTGGAAATACGCTGGAGAGAATAAAACGTCTTTGTGGGCATAGTTTGGGGTGATACAAAATTGATAAAACCTAAAGGAAGAAGAAAACTCAAGTTTAGTTTTCTTAATTTTCAAGATATGCCATTAGTCTTCTAGAGCAACAAGATTGCCTCTTAGAATGCCAGGTGTCTGTCCCTAAATTGTGTTCACTTTTATCACTTGAGAGTGTAGCTAAAATGATTTTGGAAGTAGCCTTTGTTAAACAAGTGCTTTTTTCTTGATATTTTTTCTGCTACTTACTAGGATAATCTGCTATGTTCTCTGCTTCATGTTGTATTTTTTTATTTTTCAGTATTTTCATAAAGTTGCTGGTCATCTTTTACCTCTTGCTTATAAACTGTTGAAGAGGAATCTGTTTGCAGAAATCATTGAGGAACATCTGGCAAACAGAAGTAAAGAGAACATAGACCAACTTGCTGCATGAGTGAGGAGGCTTATTTGGTGTACAGTATTTCAAGGGACTAATATTAAACTTGTGATTTTTGTTTTGTTTTTAAGGAATACAAAAAAATAAACATATACTAAAAATATTTATAAGGTTCTTCTGCCTGGTTTTCCTTCTTTAATGTGCAAGCAAATGGCAGTTAAATCATCTAAATGGTCACCCTAATCATATTTTGGAAGACAAAATCACCCTTTAATATGTCAGAGGAGGCCACTGTCTAATGCCTGTGGTTAACCAGACCATCCTTACAGAGTCTTGTTTCAGTATTTATCATATGGGCAACTAAAAATATTTCCTCTGAGTGAGTCTTGGATTAACAGCTGTAGCTTTAAAGATTGTGTTTATGGTGTGTGAGGAGGGGAACAGAAAGAAACTCTACAATCAGCACTCTCCCAGGGTGCGTGACCTACCCAACCTGCATTTTGGGTAGTATCTCCAGGTGACTCCCAGCAAGTAGTCCAGTTATCCTATTAGAGATACTATTTTAAATCTTAACTCAGTCTGTCATTTACTAATATAGCCTGGTATATTGATACATCGTGTTAACATAAGATTGTAATCAGTATGCCGTTAATTTAGATTTAAAAGTTTTTCATTGCAAATGATTTCACTGGATTTTTAGTACAAATCTGTGAATAGCTGTGTTTTACTAGATCCCGATTTTCCTTAAACCTGATATGTCCTTCACCTTAAAAGTAGAGGTTAGGGCCAGGCGCAGTGACTCACGCCTGTAATCCCAGCACTTTGGAAGGCCAAGGTGGGTAGGTCACTTGAGGTCTGGAGTTAGTGACCAGCCTGGCTAACATGGTAAAACCCCATCTCTACTAAATATACGAAATTACCTGAGTGTGGTGGCACATGCCTGCGACTCCAGCTATTTGGGAGGCTGAGGCAGGAGAATTACTTGAACCCGGGAGGTAGTGGTTGCAGTTAGCTGAGATCACACCATTGCACTCCAGCCTGGCCAGTGAGCAAGACTCCATCTCAAAAAAAAAAGTAGAGGGGAGATCATGAAATGCAAAATAGCAAACTTCATAGATGGGGCTGAGGAATGTACAAGCTTTTTTCCCCTTTCTATGAAGTTCAAGATAGGAAAGCCCCCAGGTCATCTAGGTAAACCTCCACATTTTGTAAGATTGACTTCGTTTACTCAAATAACTTCTTGACTAGCTAGTAGTTGTCCAAAGTTCTTACTGTCAGCTGTCTCCTCAAAATATATTTGAGGTACTTACTTTTTTTTATATAAGGGCATGAGTAGACTATTAAAAGACAACATTTAGAAGTTTAAATATAAATAGCATTCTTCATCTTCGCAATTAGGCTGCAAGCTTCTTAAGAGCACATATTTTATGGATATATAGTCCACTCAGTAGCACAAACCTTTGGAATTGTACTTACTGAATAAATAGACCCTGTCACATCTTCCTGAGTGCCAGATAGAATCAAACTGTCAAAAGCTGAGAAACTGGTAAGATGCCTGGGAGTTAAGGATTCTTGACTTCTCAGACAAAGTCTTCTGGGGTCAAAAATCTCTGCCACACCCGAAATCTGTTCCTTTTCTGCCAATGGCTCATGCTGCCTTTGGAGGCAGGTAAGATGCTTTCTTCAAGGTAGGCATATTTTGTATAATATCTTAACCAAAATGAAACTGAAAAGATCTTTAGCTTCCCTTTTATAACTGTACAGGAAATTTTACAGCTCTAATGGAGAGGTCTCAGGTTTTAAGGAACTGCCATTTTAGTTAGGTAAGTAGCTCCAGGCCCTGGAACCATCAGAACTATTAACTTGTTTTATATTAAAATAATTACAGGAACCATTAGGTCACACATAATAGAAAAAGTTAACCAAAGCACACCATAAATTTAAAATAAAATTTTAGAAGTTTGAGCTTTGTTCCTCAGATTTATTTTCTAAGGTGTTCAACTATTTCTAAATACTGCCATGTTAGCACTTTAAAAATATTCAAATTCATGTATCCCCCATTAAAGATTTGTTTAGCTAGAAATATTAGATTCATTTAATTTTGCCATTTGATGATCCAACAGTCTCAACTGTGTAGTTTGTAAATTTTTTATATGTTTTACGATCAGTAATATGGATTCCAGAAAGATTTCTTACGAAGAAACAAGTGAAAGAGGACAGAAAAAGGTGAACTGGCTTTTCATCCATTCCTTACAGAAACCTGATATGAATGTGTCTTTCAGGGCATATCAGAGCCAAGATAGAAATTGTACACAAACCCTAAGAATATGGTGGTTATAATTCAGATAATATAGTTGTGAATGGCGTTTCCTAAAGACAGCAACAAAAAATGTGGATTCCCAGTCTCAAACTCCAGTTTTGTCAGAGGTCTACTAACCTGCTTCAGGAGGTACCGATCTTCCAACTACTGAACACTTTGCATTAAAGAGCAAGCTCCCTACAGGAAGATGCCAGACCTTATCTTTTTCCTTCACTAAAGGCACAGTCCATTTAAACCTAGTGAACTAAATATTGGCTACCTAGGATCTGGTCACTCAATGGCTATAGTAGATTCCAAATGGCATCTATCTACCCCCGTTCTCTGAGAACACAGTTTAATTGCCCAGGCTCTTTCATGAATGAAGAACCTTGATCCAATCAGGATTTAACAGAAAGTCATTAACCAGTTCAAATTTAGCTAAGCTCACCTCTCGAAGTTCAATAATGGAGTTTCCATATAACCTCTCAAACATGTATGTAGAATAACACCCAAGGAAAAATGAAAGCTACAGAACAGATTGCTATAAACTACTTGGCACTGTCCTAAGACCTTTGCATTAACTCAAATACTGACCTTAACAGCTTAATACCATTCTGTCTAAACTATTCCTATAATAATTTTAATGTCTGGCTGTGCAAGTTGGCTCACATCTGTAATCCCAGCACTTTGGGAGGCTAAGGTGGGGCAGATAGCTTAAGCCCAGGAGTTTGAGACCAGCCTGGATAACATGGTGAAACACTCTCTCTACTAAAAATACAAAAAATTAGCCAGGTGTGGTGGTGCACACGTGTGGTCCCAGGTACTCAGGCGGCTGAGGTGGGAGGATTGCTTGAGCCTGGGAGGCAAAGGTTGCAGTGAGCCAAGATCATGCCACTGCATTCCAGCCTGGATGTAATATCTATGTAGTTGATCCCTATAATAGTAACCTATCAGTTCCTTGACTTAGTCTTTCAATGATCTAGATTAGGGGTTGATTGACAAACTAGAAACTAGTATCTTCATAGTACCAATAACAAAAACCTCCCAAATCTCAATTTCAGGCATCCTACTGTCTTAACATCATCACTCATCCTTCCGTCTCTTTCCTTCTAGTACCCCAACAATTTTTCAATACAACAGTCCCCTACAATTCACAAATGTGACCACCTTTTTCATTCTTCTCCCACTCCATTCCCTATTCTCTCGTTACCCAGCCTTTGGATTCTATTTCACATCATTACCATCACTCCTCTATCCTCCACTCCATTGCCCTTCTCTCCATTTGTTGTAATTTATCTGTTAAGCCACATTTTTAAAACTGCCCATTCTTTACCTGAGTCTGTTCAGTTACAGTTGGCTGGAGAAAAAATACAACCATGGCAGCTCATCTGATTTTAACCTCAAGTTGGCCATGCTGGATGTCCACCAATCCTACTTTCTAATCTTTCAGCCCTAACCACCCCCCCATCCTCAGTTTATTTCACTGAAAAAATAGAAACAACCAATAACTTCAACAGAATCCCACTGCCTTACCAGCTACCCATTATATGTCACCTTTCCTCCTTTCTCTGAAGGTTGAATGTGTGTCCAAGACCACACCTCCTTTGTCTACTCAAGCACTTCTCTATTTTTCCTCTCAAACATTCCTATCATTAACCAAAAAGCTGTAATTTCCTGCATCTTAAAATCCAATCAATCTTAATTTTCCCTGTCAAACCATCAACAGCAAAAGAAGCTATAATATCCTGCATCTTAAAACTATCACACATTACTCTTCTGAAAACCTCATAGAAATGCAATGGTTGTCTTCAATTCTTCCAATCTCTGTTGGACCCACTCCTTTCAGGCTTTGGCTTGAAAAACACACACTGAACCTTCTCTGGGGAAAGTTATCAGTTATCTCCACATTGGACCATTTTGAGCCCTCATTTATTTCACCTATCAGCAACACGTGACAGTTAATCATCACTCCTTGAAACTACCCTTCTTTTTTGAGACAGGGGCTTGCTCTGTCACCCAGGCTGGAGTGCAGCAGCACCATCACAGCTCACTGCAGCCTCCAACTCCTGGGCTCAAGCGATCCTCCTGCCTTAGCCTCGTAAGTAGACTACAGGTACATGCTACCATGTCCAGATGATACTTTATTTTCTAATTTTTTGTAGAGACATGGTCTATGTTTCCCAGGCTAGTCATGAACTCCTGGGCTCAAATGATCCTGTCCCCCCTGGCCTCCTGAAGTGCTAGATTTACAGGCCTGAGCCACGACACCCAGCTTATGTTTTAATAAATCCACCAGTGGAATACCCTTCTATGAATGTATTCACTTCTCCCAACCCAGCCTCACTAGCTCGCTCATTTGCTGGCTCCTCACCTCCCCAAATTTAAAAGTAAGCATGTGTCAGTGCCGCGTCCTTGTACCTCATCTTTGTCTGCACTCAGCCCGTGGTACTCTCCTGTCTCAGGATGATGCCACCCCGTGTAGCTCTCGGGCTGGGCCTTTCTCCTGAATTCGAGTCTGATACATGCTGATGCCTATGTGACACCCCCACTTGGAAGTCTAAAAGACATTTAAAACAATGTCTAAAACCAAAATTCCTCTGCACACAGCACCCCACCCCCAAATCTCTTCTTAAAAGTCTTTCCTACCTCACCCAGTGGCCATTCCATTGTTCTGTCATTATGCAGCCAAAAAGTTTGCAGACGTCCTTGAGTCCTCACTTACCACACTCCACATCCAACCCATTCCCAAGTCCTTTCTATTCCACCTTCAGCGTCCATTCACTTTCACCACCTCCACCAGCTTCAGTCAGGTTCAGATCTCCACATCTCACCTGAATTATTCCAAGAGCCTTCTAGGTGGTCTC